TCCTCAGCCTTGGTGTGTGTGGGGGTGCTGTCCTCTCTGAAACTGATCCCTGATCCGCTGTCTTTGGATCTAATTTGTTTCTCTGTCTGCCAGGGATTTTGAGGGGTGGGGTAGGGGTCTTGCCAGGAGACTTGGCTGGTCACAGGTGACATTAATCATGTCTGCATCCTCTGAGAGAGGGACTGGGATAGGGATAGGATATCAGAGAGGTGACCAAGCATTGCCACATGATTCAAATCACCTCAGCACTGATGGAGTTCACCCTGAGTTTCCGAATCTCCACAACTGTTTTTCGCCTTCACCCAATGTCAACAGGCTCTTAAAGGGGCAGGATCCATTTACACCAGGGATGGGATGCATTTGCTGGGACCTCTCCCATTAAATGTTAACTGCTAGATGCGTCTCAGACAAATTCGATTTACTGAAGATCCTTTTCAAAGGTCCTGAGAAGATTAGCTGCCTGTCCCTTCCTCTGTGCAGGGGTGGGAGCCCCGGGGTACTTTCCTGGTTTTGCCCCAGTCTCTGACCTGCAGGACGAGGGAATGTGTGGGTTGACAGACACAGTCCTGGGTGGGTTTGATGGGAAAATCCTCACAATTGTTTAAAAGAGACATAGCTTCTGAAAGTGTAACAAGGCAGAAAATGAATCGCCTTCTACCGTCAGGATAACCACCATGCCTTCTGCCCCAGAACGGGAGGAAAAACAGTACCCTCAAACCCAAAATACAGTTTTGTAGAGAGTTTGTTTATGCACAGAGATGTTTCCAGAAGCTAAGTCAGTACACACCTTGTCTGCTTCCAAGATGGAATTTTGCTTTGTAGCAACAGTTGGACTCAGTGGGATTACAGGTGCGTGCCCCCACATTCAGATGCAAAACCCAGCTGGGTGCAAACCAGAAGAATTGGTGGGTCAAAGGCAGAAATAACTGGAGCTCAAGATAGTTCTTTCAGTGGTTTCTCTAATATGTGGAAGGTGGTGATCAGCCAGCAGGCACCATGCAGCCAAGAGGTATAGGACAGACACTGTCTGAAGCAGGGCTCAGGCTTCTTGTTCCCGACTGTGAGACTCGCAGCATCGGCTTGTCTCCTGAGATGGTAAAGTCAATGAAGAAATTGCTTTACTAGCATTTACACTAGCATTGCTGGTGTCCCTGTAACACTCAATAAGTCTGTATGTTCAGGATTGGTGGGTTCGGGGTGTTGCTCAGCGTGTATACCTGTTTGCTTTGAGAAGTTTTCGATTACCCATGAACTCAGAGCTCTAAGCTCAAGAAGTGAGAACTGGGCCCCAGGAAAACTGAGAGTCAGTTTGCAGCATGGGCCTCAGCATGGGGGTAAGACTGTCAACCCAGAACCGGGAAACAGAAGCAGATCACAAGACTGAGGCAGGCTTGTTTCAGAATAAAACTGACAGGAGGTATGTGACACCAGCAGACTAGGCTAAGCTACCCACAAAACAAAACATCTCAGACTTTCAGTGTCTCTTATGATGGACGTGGAGGGTATGCTTGAAATCCCAGACTTGGGGAGAAGAGACAGAAGAATTTCTGCAAGTTCAAGGCTGACCTAGTCCGTATGGTGAGTTCTAAGATAGCCAGGACTTTACAACTACATAGTGACACACACAGTGCAATAAAAAATAAAATAAAATAAAATAAGGTAAAATGAAAACTTAAAAGTTCAGAGATACAGTTCAGGAGACGTAGTGACTGTTTGCCTAGCATGCAAGGGTGGAGCCCTGGGTTTGATCTCCAGCTCTGCAGAGCTAGCTAGATGTGTGAAGGTGCAGGCTTGCACTCCTAGGAGAAAAAACCCAGGAAAATCACCAGTTCAAGGTCGCCTTCAACCACACAGTTCGAGACCATCCAGGGTACATGGTATCTTGTCTCAAAAACTAAAAAGTGATAGTGACGCTGGGCTAGAATGAACAAGAAAGCAGGAGGAAATAAGAGGAAAAGAAAAAGGGGGAAAAGGAGGAGTGGGGAAGACCCCGAGCATTGGCAGGGTGTGTATTTACAGAGAAAGAGCGGAGAGAGCCCAGGATGGAAGAGGAAGAAGTGACAGGAAGAATCCAGGCCACCATGAAACTTGAAATGTGAAGTCCCTTGCTGCTTGCTCCATCTCTACCCCACCCCCACCCCATCCCACCACCAGAACACGGGATCTCTATCAGCTTCAGCAGGCCCCAAGTCCCTCTGCTAGTCTGCTAGTCTGGCGCCCTTGGGGACACTGTGGGGATATCACAAATTAGACATCAGGCCTGCAGGGCGGATTACATCAGGGAGGGCTGGACTGTGGAGAAGATCAAAGACTCGCCTGGCAGGGCTCCCAGTGGGGCCCCCAGGCCTGAATTCCTGGCTGAACCCCCAGGAAACATTCTGATGTACAGATAGAAGCCCTGCAGTCCATGCAGGCTGCCTCTTCCTCCCTCCCTCTGCGGCCAGCCATCTTGCCCCCATGGTCTTCCCTAGCCATTCCACATGGTGGGTGAAGGGATAGTTAGAGACAAAAAAAAAAAAAGCAGAGCATAACCAGGCATGGTGGCACATGACTGTGACCCCAGCACTTCAGAGGTTGAGGCAAAAGGACCTTGAATTTGGCTAGCCCAGGGTACATCTCAAGATCGTGTTTCAAAGAAAGCAACGAAACACAAAATAAACACAAGGAAATGAAAACAAAACTAAAGTAGGCCTGTCGAAGTGACACACACCTGTAACCCCAGCACTCAGGAGGTACAGGGAAGAAAACTCAGGAGTTCAAGGCCAGATTCAGCTACATAACAAGTTTCCAGGCCAGCCTGGGCCACTGACACCCTGTCTCAAAACATTAAAAAAGAAAGACACCCTCACAAACAAAAACCTTGGAAATAGCATGCCATATCTTCTCAGGCCTCAGTTTCCTGACTACCAGAGGGACTTTCTACTGAAAGTAGGGAGTTCCTGCTTGCAGAGTTGGGAACATTCCCTGGGATAAATAAATAGATTTATTTGTTTCTCGAGCCTTGGTCTCCTGGGTGTAAAACAGAGAGCATGTAAACACCTCTCCCGCCGAACTGCTGCTGGCTTTAACTGCGATCACAGAAGAAGAACGCTGGGCCCAGATCCTGGCATGCAGCAGAGCCCTCAGCACATGGCTCACCACCGTGTTTGCAAGACACAAGCCAGATTGCCATCGCAGACAGGGGCTAATATATGGCATCGTGCTCTGGCCGAGAATTGGAACATTGTGATTAGAAGCTGGAAGGGAGGGGGGACAAAAAGAACCTGTCCTCAAGTGCGCAGTGACAGACCACAGACGCTCTTGGCAGCCAGAGGGGCTGAGGAAGGACAGAACAGATCATATTAATAACAATAAATTATATCTACACCATGATTCATGCTTCTCATTACGCTATCTTACAGTACTGAAGGAAGGGTGTAGCAACCTCCTTGTTTGTCTCGAGTGTGTTCACATCTTGTGGTTATTTGAGGTGATACCATTTTTTCCTGCTGTTGGTTGTTATTTCTCTCGCTTTCCAAACTGGGGAAACTGACTCTTGGAGAAAGCTAACGGTTTGCCCAAGGGAAAAGTTGAAGCTGAGATCCACATCTGGGAGTTGGTGATATGGCTCCATGGGTAAAGGCACTTGTGGCCAAGCCTGATGACCTGAGTTCAATTCCCCAGGACCTGTAGGGTGGAAGGAGGGAACAAGTTCCTGGATGTTGTTCTTTGACCTCCTCATATGCCATGAACCCCACCTCCATAACTAAATAACTAAACGTTTAAAACAACTAAAAGAACAAAGATTCCAAACTGTGTTTTCTAAGCCCAGCTTTTCAGTCTTGTGTGTGAGATAACTCCTTTCCCACTCTGCCAGCCTGTAACTCACCATGGGTTGGGGGTGAAGGGGTCTTGAGGTCTTGGGTTTCTCTCTTCCATGATGGATGAGTCCACTTTTGTCTCCTTGTCAGCTAAGGGTGAAAGAATCAAGGACCCCTCCTGCATCTGGACCTGAAGATGAAGGCTGTGTAATTCCAGCTACTTAAGAGGACTAGGCAGGAGGATCGTGGGTTCCAAGCCACTCTGGGCAGCTTAGAGACACTCAAAAACACGTGAAAGGAAATGAGAACTATAAGAAAGTGTCACTGCTATGGAAGACCTCCTGCTCAGGGGGGGGTCACAATTCCCAATACAGGCTAGCAAAACAGAGCCCCCAACCTCCCCTGCCTCTACTCCCACCACACCCAGAGTTCTAGGACCTATAAGAATCCCCAGCCCCTGGGCTAGAGAGATGGCTCAACAGTTACGAGCACTAATTGTTCTTCCAAAGGACCAGGGTTCAATTCCCAGCACCCATATGTCAACTCACAACTGTCTGTAACTCCAAGATCAACCCTCAGACAGACAGACATGCAGACAAAACAGTAGTGCATATAAGATAAAAATAAATAATTAGAAAAAAAAAAAGAAAGAGAAGCAGCTATCCTTTGCATTCTGGGCAGGGCGGGGTAGGCATGACTCTGATTTGGACTTGAACTTCCTCTCCTTTGTTGAAAGGCTTCTCTGTGTCTTTGAAGCCAGAAGCAGCCTAATTAGCATTGTTCATGGGCTCTCTTCGTTCCCTACCTTATCTCTTCACCCTGAAACTCAGAGCCAGCTCAAGACCCACTTAGTTCAGAGTTCAGGTTCACGTGTCTTTGGAGAGGGTTCGGCTAGGGAAATGAGTGCAGCCAACAGGCTGGATTTCTGGGGTACTGGTGGTGGGGCACGACAAAGGATCCCCTTCACCCTTCTCTATCCCATGACTTCCTTTGTCTCCTGTCCCCATCCCCGATCCCGCCCCCCAGCACACGAGCCTGGAGGCTTCCCAATAAAACAGTAACTTTATCTAGGACGAGCACAGTCCGTGTAGAATGGATAAGGTGTAATTAATAACAGAAAATAACGCTGCCCCCTCCTGATCTTTGACCCTCATATAAACGTCTTAAGTTTTATGACAGCTCCGCACAAAATTAGTGTGTGAGGGCGTGCGCACATGTGTGAGCGTGCTAGCGTTAGGGCAGAACCGATACCCTCTCGTCTGGTGAGTGTTCTTGCCGTGCTGGCTGGAACTGGTTTGTGTTTCTGAGGAGCCTGGCCTCTCGCTGAACCCAGGAGCTGCCTGAGAGTCATCTGAGATCTGACAGTGAGGATTCTGCCTCGTTCTCTAGGATCCCGTGTCTAAGGTCATGTATGATTTTTAGATGAGGGTTATGTGTATATCCCAGCATTCCAGAGGCTGAAGCAGGGAGGCTGGAAGCTACAGACTAGATTGGGCTACATGGGTAGACTTTATCTGCAAAGAAAACACCTGGCTGCGGCAGAGGCAGGTGGATCTCTGTGAGTTTAAAGCCAGCCTGGTGTACATAGTCAGGGATTCAGAGAGAGAGAGAGAAAGAGAGAGAGAGAGACCCTGTCTTACACACACACAGACACACACACACAGAGAGAGACACACAGACACACACACACATCTTTTAGCTCATTATGACATTTCCAAGCCCTAAAGGATGCTGGAAAAGGTCACCAACAGCTATGTGTGTCCCTAGCAGTGAGCTTTTCATTGGTTTGATGCTATAATCATTTGGGTCTCAGAATGTCATGGTTAAGAAAACAAAATAAAACAAACAGACCAAAAAAAAAAAAAAAAAAATACTGGTCCCAGAAGCCACAGGAAGGCACTTCAATGTGACTTCACTGAGGCCATTCATCTATGGAAGAATGGAGGCAGTGTGCTGGCCCAGATGTAGCGGCATAGGTCTGTAAATCTGTACTCAGGAGGCTAAGGTAGAAAGACTGTGAATTTTGAGGCTAGCCTGGTCTACCTAGCAAGGCCCTGTTTCAAAGAAACAAAGAGAAATGATCAGCATGGTAAGTGGAGGACAATGGGGAGACGAAAAATGTTGTCGCCACAGACCGCCGTCTCCCTGGAGTTGGAGGAGAACTGAGTAAATGGAGCCGCTGTCCTTCGGAGTAGAAGGATGCTGTAACTGGTTCTGTTTATCTTAATGGATCCCCAGTATGTTCATTTAAAGTAATATTATCTTGCTTTAAAGGTCACTGCGCTGGCCAGAGCTATTGGATTCCCATGATTCATTCCGTGGGGATGTTCGGCTTTTTTTTTTTTTTTGTGGGGTCCTCAGCACCAACATCTGGGTTAATGGAAGCCACACCGGCCACGAAGTCAGTAGCTTTGAATCTTCCAGGCCTCAGGAGGCCTGGGCAGGGTGGACCAGCCGCTTCCTTTTGATCAGCAATGATGAGTGAACCAGAGGTCACGAATGTCTGGGGCCTGTGCTTTGGCTCCTACCAGACAGCAGCAACTGGGCCCTGTCCTGTCCCCTCCCACCATGGCCCTGGGAGTTGAGTTTCCTAAGCTTGCCAGTCTCTGGGTAGACGGTCCCAGGACCTCAGGGCAACAGAGGGACTTTCTTTTGGAAGATCCCAGCCCTAAATCACTGGAGGAGACGCCTTTGCTCAACCCTAAACCTCCTCCCTCCTCCCCCTTTCCATTTGGTTCCTGTAGACATGGATGAACTGATTCCTTCTTCCCCGGGGGAATTCCTGCTCCTGGATGTCAGGTGACAGGCAAATTTTTTGGAAGGAGATCTCTTTCTCCAGGGGGAGTCACTGGGTTGGTGAGCTCTTTTATGGGCATGCCTGAACTCTGGAGGGCCCCCAAACTGACAGCCACCTCTGCCTGCTAAATTGATCATATATTTTCCTGCCATTATGTCACCCTTTGACAAATGTGTTTGCTGGTCATATTTTTATGGTGCTTCTTCCAGTGGGGGGGGGGGGGGGAGTCCACTGAGGGTGGGGGTTGCTGTGATTTATATGGAAGGAGAAAGAAGAGGATTGCTTATCGCTGGCATCAGAGGTGGGATTTCCCAATTCCCACCGTCTCCCTTTTGTTTTGAGGCCGAAAGACAGCATCGGCTGGTCTGATTAAAGAGTTTGGGAAGTTCTGAGGGCTTTGAGCCTCATAAAGCTGACAATGGCCAGGACATGAGGACTCAGGTACCTCTTTATTTGACATCCTTCTGGGTACTTCACAACCCAGTAGGTGGGTCCTGGAATTTGTTGCCAGGATGAGAAAGTCTTGATGAATGTAAGGTATTTCCCACTAGAGGCCTGAGTTTTGGCCATGTGGTGAGTAAGCTCTTAAATAGTGCTTCAAAACAACTGAATAAATATTCATTAAGAGACAGAGTAAAGAAGGCAGGAGAGGAAAAGCATGAATTTTACCAGAGCTTCCTAGATCTAGTGCTGGTAAGGGAACTCACAGTCTTACCTGTGAGGAAGTTAGTTGTGTTCATTCTGCAGATGGGGAAGTTAGGCAGAACTCTCAGGCTCCAGAAGGACCTAAGCAAGGTCTCACATAGCATGACTGTTATCAAGGATTGCTCTCAGGAGACTTGGCAACGTGTGGTAGGTAAGTATAGCTGAGAGTTAAGGGGCTGGTGAGATGGCTCGGTAGGCAAAGAGGCTTGCTTCCAAGCCTGATGATCTGAGTTCAATCCCTGGGACCCACATGGTAAAAAGAGAGAGCCAACTCTCATGGGCTCCCAGCTTCATAGAACTCAGGGACCTAGGACCTTACATAGGCTAGGCAAGAGCTTTATTAATTCTAGGATCTGCAATTTCAGGATTTTATATATATATATACATAAATATTAACTTAATATATTTAGGGACTAAATAAGTATATACATAAATATATATAAATAAATATATATATTTATGTATATACGGAGTTTTAGTTTTTAGAGACAGGGTTTCTATGTGTAGCTTTGGCTGTCCTGGACTCACTTTATAGACCAGACTGGCCTTGAATTCACAGAGATCTGCCTGCCTCTGCCTCCCTAGTGCTGGGATTAAAGGTATATGCTATCATGCCTGGCTAATAATTTGTTTCTTTTTGTCTGAGATGGGCCTTAGTCCTTACCATAGATGATCTGGTACTCAGTATATAGCCTAAACTGGCCTGAATCCTGTGATGCTCTTGGCTTGACCTCTCAAGTGCAGGGGATTCTGGGAATGCAGCATTCCTGGCTCTAAATCCTAATTTCTTGGGGCCTAAACTCTGTCTTATTTAGGATGTCTCATGGGCTCACTGATGGCTTCCTGTAGTCGGATAGGTGCATACTTTTTCCATTGCTCACATGCGAACACTCCTCTTCACCTGGCTTCACTCCAAATTGACAACTTGCTGTGTTCCACCCACAACCCATCAAACACAGGAGGGCCACCCTCTCACCAATGATTCTGTTAAGCAAGAACAGAATCCAAGTTCCCTAAGAAAGTTTTGATTTCACTTTATTTATTTGTATGTTGTAATTTTGAGGCAGGGTAGATAGCCACGCTTGGCCCTAAACCCACAAGTACACTGTCTCAGCCAGACTCATCTGGAAAGACTATGGGCCACTTGATGCTGAGGACTCTAACCATTTTAGTGATCTCTCACTTCATCTGAAGAAGTGGAATGCCTTGGACATTTGGACGGCCAATTGAAGCACCTGCGTGGGGCTCTGTGGGTAGCCTGGGCTCATCCAGGGGTATCAATCAGGCTTCTCACAGAGCAACCCAGTGCTCCAGGAGAGAGTGTGTCAGCAAGCACATAGAACTCAATGTTTTCTTCTGTGGCCAATCTAGGAGGCCAGCATAGACACTTCTGCCAGAGTCTATCTTTTGAAGAAGTCAAGACTCTCCCACAGACAAGGGAAGAGACTCCAGACCCACACAAACGAGGAGGAGGGTTTTCAAATTGCCAGATGTAGATATATTAAGCCCCATTTTATTGATACAAGCGTGGGACTACAAAAACCCCATGAAGCCAAGTCATGGGGCGCACCTTGGGTCCCAGAACTTGAGAGGCAGAGGCAGGGGGAGCTCTGTGAGTTCGAGGCCAGCCTGGTCTACAGAGAGAACTCTAGAACAGCCAGGGCTGTCTGGAAAAACAAAAATCAAAAACAAAACAACCCCCAAAACCCAAAACCAAACAAACAAACAAAAACAAACCAAAAACAAAACAAAACCAAAAGCCAAAAAACAACAACAGCAAAAAAAAAAAAAAAAAAAAAAAAAAAAAAAAAAAAAAAAAAAAAAAAGAAAGAAAGAAAGAAAGAAAGAAAGAATGAAGAAGGGAAAGAAGGAAGGAAGGCTTCAAGGTTAATGCATGATATTACAAGTAGGGTGTTATCCTAGTCCACAGCTACATAATAAGAAGGCACATCTGGGCTGGGGTCATTCACTGAGGGTGAAGACAGCTTGCTTAGCAAGAAGTCCTGTGATAACTGCACCACATCAAACCAGGTGTGGTGGTGCAACCTTGTCATCTCAGCACTCGAGAGGTAGTAGAGGCAGGAGGATCAGAAGTTCAAGACCATCCTCGGGTACATTGTGAGTTTTAGTCTGGCCTGGGCTATTAACACGACCCTGTCTAAAAACCAATACCGGAACAAACCATACCCGGAATAAAACAAGGCTGGAGAGGTATCCCAGTCTGTAAAATGTTTGCTTTGTGAGCATGAGGGTTTGTGTTTGACTCACAGAACCCCAGTAAAAGATCAGGGCATGATGGCAAGTTCTTGCAATTTCAGGAGTAGGGAGGCGTGTGTGTGTGTGTGTGTGTGTGTGTATGTATGTGTGTGTGCGCTCGAGTTTATGTGTGAACACACACCACTTAAATTCAAAATAATCAAGTACTATTTCTGTACTTGGAAATACATGTATTTCCATGGCATGGAGCTTTAACATCAACCCTTCACCCCACACCCAGTGTCAAGTATACATTTGCCGCTGACATGGTGTTCGCTGAGTGAATGCGAGACCTTCATTTGCTGAAGGCGATGTGAGAACAGCCCTGCCCTCTTGGAAGCCTGCGGCTCTGTTGTATGAAGTCCACCTTCCCCTCTGCCTCCAGGACTAAGCATCCTCTGGAGGGTTGCAACATGAAAAGAGTTCCAGATCCTGTCTGACTTCTGTGTGGAAAATGATGTACTTTCTGGTCCATCTGCCCCCTCCCTGCCAGTTGCTGCAGAC